CTGTCAAAAAGTATGGAAACAATGATTACGAATTTTAGCATTCAAAGAATGCGGTCTGTCGCTTTTCTTTTGAAGAAAATAAATTGAAAAGACAATGGCTTTAACAAAATATTTTATTTGTAAAGACAACTGTCAGAACAAATATAAGCAACTTCTGCTAATTGCCCTTGAATTAATATCACCCAGGTAGACCATTCATTAGTTAATTTGTTATAATTAATACAACGCCATTCACGGGCTTGGGGACAAAAGAATTTTAATTGTGTCTGAAAGAAGCTCTGACAACTTTGAGGCTACTTTTTGTAGTCAAATAATTTGTAAACTTATTTTTCAGTAAATTGAATCAGAATTTTACTGTGAATAAACAACAAAGCTTTTTCATGCTTGTTAATTTTGTTGAGCTTCATATTTTTTGCTTACGATAATACTGATTTATATTATAAAAGTCTACTCTATTTTGTTTTACACATTTCTATAACTTACGTGAGGACCTTTAGGTGTATAGGTGTTAATTTACATAATGAATGAAATGTTTATTTATTTTATACAACTGCCATCTTCCTCAATTTTTTCGTTACGATTTGGTATTTATTTTTTATGTTACTTGTGTACAATAAAGATGTGTAATTTTAAGTAAAATAAAATGTAGGTCATCTAGAAATATACCTACCTGATTTACACTCATCATCATCTCAGCCATAGGACGTCCACTGCTGAACATAGGCATCCCCCAATGCTTTCCATGTTGATCGATTGGTAGCGGCCTGCGTCCAGTGTTTCCCTGCTACCCAGTGGCGTAGCTTGGGGGGGGCAGGGGGGGCCATGGCCCCGGGCGGCATATGAAAGGGGGCGGCGGATAAGAAAAAAAACATTGCATGAACAAGAAAAAAAAAGGTCGACTATGTCTACGTTGAGACTAACAAATCTAGCTATACTGGCAATTGAAAATGAGATACAATTTGATATCGACGATTGTGTAAAAGATTTTGCTTTGAAAAAAGCACGAAGAGTACATTTTTAATCTATTTTTTTAAGTAATAGCAACAAAAATATTTAAGGAGCTTACTTACCCCTCTAAAACTTGCGCCACAGATAATCTTTCGTGATTTCTCTTGTTACAAACCGAAATAAAAAAGTGGTTTGTAAATAGTTAAAGCCATATCTAAGCTACTTTTAAAACCGTGTATTTATTATATTCTGCAAGTTCGAAATTCAAAATTAGCTAAAATGGTAACTTTTAGCAGTAATTAAATCTGTAACTTGCTGCAAATATCTAATGAATTCAAACAAATTATTTTAAAAAATAGCTTCGATACATACACTTCTGGACACATCTACTGACCCACCTTAGAGTTTAGGTTTCGTTGGCCCCTACCGAAATATGATTGCTAGATTGAACAAAAACTGTTGATGCAGTTTTAAACCTGATACATTTTACCATCTTTTTCGATCGTATTGTTTTAAATTTGAATTCAGAATACCATACGACATGGAGCTACGCCTAACAAGTCGGATATGCGTCTTGTTAAAGGCAATTGATTTTTGAATAAAAAACATGTTTTATCAAATAAAGGTTTAATTTAATAACACGTGTTGCCTCCATGGGCATCTACCACAGCTCTCATACGATTAGGCATAGAGTTCATCAACCGCTCTATGAAATTTTAAGGGATCATCTCCCATTCCTCTTCTATGGCAGTTTTCAACTCCTGCATCGTCTGGGCAACTGGCTGACGAGCCCTAACACGTCTTTTTAGCTCGTCACACATGTGCTCAATGGGGTTCATGTCTGGGCTTTTGGCTGGCCAGTCCATAACTGTGATGTTCACATTCCGAAGATATTCCCTGACGATGCCGGCCGCATGGGCTCTTGCATTATCATGCATAAAAAGGAAATTTGGGCCCACATAGTCCGCGTATGGTATCACGTGAGGTTCTAAGCACTCACGAATGTACCTTTCAGCATTTAATGTTGGCAGCCGTGGTCCTGTAACAACGTCAAGTTGAGTTTTGCCGCTCGCGGATATACCGCCCCAGACAGTCCATGAGCCACCGCCATAAGCAACCCTCTCTTCAAAGCAGCATTGTGCGAAACGCTCTCCCTTACGTCGGTAGACGTTCTTCCTTCCATCATTGCCATGTAACACAATTTTAGACTCATCAGAAAAGAGTACACGGCTCCAATCTTGCTGTGTCCAATTTAAATGACTGCGTGCGAAATGAAGGCGCGCTGTTCGGTGGGCTCGCGTTAGTTTGGGCCCATTAGCTGCCTTGTGTGGTACCATATCGCGTTCTTTGAACCTTCTCCGAACAGTTCGAGCGCTCACAGATACTCCGTGGAAGTCGCGAAGTTGGTTTTGTATCTCAATGGAGGTAAGGTGACGATTTCTCAAGCTGGTCGTCACGATGAATCGACCCTGCCTTTCAGTTGTGACCCGAGATCGTGGCCTTCCTTGGCGACGAACAAAGCCACCAGTCTCTAGGTACCTCCGATAAACATTTCGGACCGCAGATCGACTTAAATTAAGTTGAGCACTCATGTTTCTTTGGCTGTGTCCGGCCTGAATAAGTGCCACAGCTTGGGCGGCGACTTCAGGTGAAGTATCCATAGATTATTGATAGAACCTCACCTTAATGTTAAGAATAAGTAATGTTTGTTGCAAAACCAAAGATATCAATCACTTTTTCAAGAATTTAATCCAAGTAAACCAATAAAACCAAGTTTTCTTAGTAGGTATTCGATTGTTTGATATCAACAAACAGGCTCCAAATTGTCTTTTGTCCAAAATCTCTTTAAACTCTGTGTAAGAAATTAAAAAAAAGACTATTGAATGAAATTGTGAATGTGCCAGGTTCAAAACTGTATTTTTTTTTTTTTTATGTGACAGGAGGCAAACGAAACTTTTTGCTCGACCTAATATAAAATTTTAGCTAGGACCAAATGAAACTGAAAATACAAGATGGGCCAGTAGATGTGTCCAGAAGTGTATTATACATTTTTCAAACCACTTTTTTAATTTCGGTCTATAACAAAAGTAATCAAGAAAAAATATGGTGGCGCTGGTTAGCTAGGGTATACAACCCTTAATAATATTAAGCACATATGTTATTCCTTCTAAGTTCAATGAGCACTGTATATAATTTAAGATAATATTTACTCTCAATTGACAAATAAATACTTTAATACTTGTTATTATTGTTTATTGTTATACACCTAGTGTTACATAATAAAACTGAGCTAGGTATTTAAGAAAATCAAACTTCCTGTGGGTTTCAAGCAATTGCTTCTTTTTAATGTATTTTCCTTCTGAAGCAGTGCGTGGTAGTTTATTTTGACTTTCAACAAATAAGGTGAATAGTGTACCTGAAGTCTATTCAATATAATATTTAAACTTTAAAATATTTATAATTAAAATAAAGGGCGGCGGATTTCCGGACGGCCCCGGGCGGCGAAAAGCCACGCTACGCCACTGCTGCTACCATTACGATGTCGTCGGTCCACCCATCCCACGCTGCGTTTTCCGGTACGCGGCCTCCACTCCAGAATCTTGCTGCCCCAATTACACTAGTATCTTGATAATCAGCAGAATCATAACCCAAATGGGAGCACTTATACCCGAATTACCTAAGTTCTTGTTGGTACAAGAACTTACTCTCTGGTAATTCATCCGTCTTTACAGGCCCATAAACCGTGAGGTGTCTCTAAAAGTCTGAAGTCGAGACTTTTATTATTACACTAGCTTCTGCCTGCGGATTTGTGTAAGTTTTGGTTTCTAACATAAAGTCTAGTCAGGCCGCTACCAACCGGGCAACATGGAAAGCATTGGGGGAGACCTATGTTCAGCTGTGGACGTCCTATGGCTGAGATGATGATGATGATGATGATGAACAGAAAGTCTTACCTACTAGATTTCTTATTAAATCATAATTTTTTTTTTGGATCGCGTTTAGTCACTTTTGTTTGTTGCAGCAAAGGTAGCATATGTGATTCCTGTTTATCCCTATACTAATATTCATTGCATTGGCGCAACAGCTATTACCATCCCATAAAATCAAGGACGTACGTACGTGTTTTATTCAAAACTGATAAGTACTACTGTACAGTATAAAGTAGGTACCAAGGTAAATAGTAGGTATGGCCTTCTGTGTGGCAGGTGCTAATTTGCACAAAAGTCTATAGTTTGATTTATGTCCTATCTTTCACCTTTAATTGTGGCAAAATGTGCTCTAGCTTACCTATAAGGAAGCTCCTTAAACTCTATGGCATTTTAAAACGTTGTGGCAGGTTGTATTTTTCAACAAGTTAGATTTATGTCCTATCATTTCTATCTCTAATTGTGCCAAAATGTGCTCCAGTTTACCTCTTTGGGAGCTCCTTATAATTCCAAGACCGTTTCTTGTCAAGTGAGCGCCGGCCGATAATTCGGCCCTGTTTTATAGCCACGCTGTAAATCCTCCTTACGCCTGGGTATAACTCAGCCGGTCCAGCTGACTCGGAATGGGACCGCATTTATAAGTTATCTAAGGGATATTGACGAACTTATGTTCGGTCTAAATGCTGAAGTGGGTCATGAGGGTTTCTTTTGGTTGGTGTACGGTTGGGATTTGACTGATTTACGTTCTGCTTTGTGCTGCGGGATACTGAGTGAAGGTTCTTCTTGATTTGTTGGTTACAGAAAAAACGTGAACTGATACTTTTTCTGAGCTGAGTTCTATGTAACTGATGAAATTGACATTGTTCTACTTTTTCATATTGTATGACGAGGAATAATTGAATAAAAATAATGTTATTAATACTTTGTCCAACTTGGGATTGAATCCATTAATTGCACTTGCGTACAAAAACTTTTGCTTAGAGAGTTGAAACTGTTTTGACTTCTCAGAATAATAAAACTCCACATTAAATATTTTCATCTCAGAAAATACACAATTATTTCCTTCTCCTTTTGCTAATTATGAAAGAATAACTACAAAATCCTTTTCTCGTTGTTACAGGCCAAAAAGCGGCTCGATGCTGCTGTACAGCCGGAAGAAGGTCAGGTACCGAAGAGACGGGTACTGCTGGAAGAAGAGGAAAGACGGCAAGACCACCCGCGAAGACCACATGAAGCTCAAGGTCCAGGGGACTGAGGTAAGAAGCATATCTTATAAGATCGCAATGAGACTACATATTAATTTCAATCTAATCTAGTTAGCTATGAGAAAAGAAAGCAAGACTACCTACCTGCGAAGACCACATGAAGCTCAAGATCCAGGGGACTGAGGTAAGAAGCATATAATGTCATAAGGTTTTTTTGCGGATGAGAGGATAAAGGTTCGCTGCGCTCATGCGCGGCCCTGAACAAGATAAGATAGGATGTTATAAGGCCGCTATATGACTATTGAGCTCAATCTAATCTTATAGTGAGTTATGAGAAACGACGGCAAGACCACTTGCAAAGATAGCTCATGAGCTTCATGTGGTCATGATCCAGGGGACTGAATCGCAAGGTTTGACCTTTGAGCTCAAACTTCTCAGCACCAGCCCATATGTTTTCCCGAAGTGGTGGTAGGGCAAGCTATATTTGGGACGTGTATAAGTGCCCTGGAAAGGGCCTATGTACTGAATAAACTATTTCATTTCATCTGATCGTGTAATGACTTACGGGAAGACCGCAATATTTGTTGTATCTTTCTGCCATGGAGTCTGCAAAAGCCTTATTGAACACGAATAATCTCAATTTACAATCCCATAAACGGAATATTTAATAATAGTCTCAAGAAGTACAAGTACGGTTCTCGTTTCGTTTGATGATAAAAACCTCAGAAACTTCATAAAAAATTCTTACTTCTACCTTCAAACGTTACACAACCATCAAAACTTTGTTGCGGTTCCATAGACAGCTTGAAGCGTTAAAAGAATCTAGAACTCCAATTGTGACTTTCAAACATTTGAACGGAATTTTGAAGCAGACAAGGCCGATTGCGGACTTTCACTGATGTCTGACACCAGGAAAACGAAAGGTGGATTGTTTGATTTGGATTTCAATGCCTCACTATTGGACAGGGTTTAAGTTCGCCGTTAGGCCCGGTTTCCACCAAAGCGGAGCGGTGCGGAGCATAGCAGAGAAGATTTTTGAATAACCAATCAGATTCCATTATATGCGTTTTCAAGGCGAGAGTGAATTGGCACTTACAGGGCAGATATGTACCATCCTAACACCAGGTGCGATTGCGGTAAAATGCCTTGTCTAGCATTAAAAAAAAATGCACATCTCCACTCTGCTCCGCTTCGGTGGAAATGGATCGAGCGGAGAAGTGTCGGGCGGACTTGTTTTTCTATAGAATTTGACAGCGGTGGTGTGCGGCGCGATATGGAGAAGAGCGGAACGTTGCGGATATGTGCGGAGCGGTGCGGTGTTTCATAAATATCAATAGACTGACAGCTGACAGCTACGCACAGCTCTCACATCTCCTGTTGTCTCCGCCCCGCTCCGCTCTTCTCCGCTCCGCTTTGGTGGAAACCGGGCCTTACTATTGTACAGGCTTTTATGTTCGCCGTTAATCTGTTTGTTTCGTGCAGCCCGTTTTTACTTTGTTGCAACAATTGGGGCAATTGGGTGTTTGAATCGCTTACTTGGATTTGTACAAACACTATTGCTGAACTAATACAATACTTATGTCTATTATAGTGAAAGGTTTGCTTAGACAGCTCTGACTTAGATAGTAGGTCTTGTAAACTATGTCAAAAACGGAACAAATGATGATGATGATGATGATGATCCATCCGACCGATTTCGGCCATGGCGACCACTCCGACTCCTAGCTGTCTTGGCGGCGCTGGTGTGCCCGAAGATGTCAAAAACGGAACAAATATCTGACTAACAGAAAATGTAAACTTCAAACTGTTTATTAGTACACGTCCCAATATTTCAGTTTTTTTCTACATAAAGTGAGTTCTTCGTCATAAGAAAAGAAGTTGCGAATTTATCTAGGTACAGATAACAGCATATTATTATCAAGCTAAACATTGTGGCATTACGTGGATGTAATGGATATTATTTTGCAACCATAATGGCATGGGGCATACTGAAAACCATGGTCGTGGCCTTCCTCACCGTGGGCCACGGCATATTATGCTGAGTGGGGTCCCGTTGCGATGGCCAATGGGTGTCACTGCTCAGCTCACTTTCTCTTCCATTGTATGTTTTATGTGTTACCTCTAGCTTTTTTATTTACCCTTTTTAATCTTTGTGTGATGTCCATAGCAAGTTTCTTTCTTTCATAATGAAAAGTCTGATGTGAAGTTGACTGTACGTACATCTAATACTACTTACTCGTGTGATAATGAGTTCACTATCTCCCTCGCACCTACGTCGATGCTATTTAGCCCCATTATTTATACCTTGACCTACTGGAATAACTTTATTATCATACAAGAACATAATGTTAAAAACGGAAATAGCTGTTTCTCTCAGTAATTTATGTTCGCATTTACTTAATTATATGTAAACGCGGCTTGTAATAAGTTAATTTTCTGTGGGAGTAGTAAAATTAAAATTATTAATATTTTGAGCGCGCTTGTTAAAGGAGTAAATTATTTTTCGTATTATCAAGAGATAAAATGTCGGTAACAAAGTTATTTTAATGATGTTCTTTATTGATTACCTTGGTTGATTGAGCCGTGAGTCTCAGGTGTATATGTCATGAAATATTTAGTTGCATACCTAAAATAAACTTTGATTTGTTTGAAGCACCTGATGTCGTGCCCTGAGTTTGTACCTGAGTGCCCAAGCAACTGCATTCAGGAGGATTTGATGAGTGCTACTGACAACGCCACTCTTGTGGCGGAGTTTTAGGCTGATACTGTGTAGGTTTGTTGTCAACACGAAAAGAAGACTTTGATTTGTAAAGTAAATTAGTAGCAAGTAAAAAACTACCAACCGGTCAATCTGGAAATCATTCAGGGAGGCCGATGTTCAGCAGTGGACGTCCTGTGACTGAAATAATGACGTGATTAGTAATTAACAAAATCGTTCTGATAAATTCTAGCATCATCTTTGAGCTCAAACTTTTAACAAAGGAATCAAAGAATCTTGGCCGCCAGGGCCGTGCCACTATTGCAACGACTTAATCTCTAAGACTGAACTTTGTATGTTTTGCAGACCCACTTTACACGGGTGGCCTTTTTGTCCATAAACAAGTGACAGTATTGCGTGCCCCGGTGGGCTGGTGCAAGCGTTGAGAGCTTAGCGGGCACCTACTTAAAACAAAGGAAATATTAATTTAAAAAGGTTTTAATTGTAGGGACTAAGTTTTGTTGTGTCTCCTGAGATCAGCTCGAGAAGTATCTCAGAAAAATGCTTGGGATAATAGTTACCAAAAGACCTCCGATCCGTCCTCGGTACTTAACAGTTCACAGTCACTACCAAAATCTAGGCCGCTACTAGCTGCTCAAAAATAGTATCATGAAGAGACCTATAAAATCGCGAAACATTAAATGGAGTTACGTTTGATTCTCTTGCGTTTTTTGCATAGTAAGCAATCAAACATGATAGATATTTATCTAATAGGAATATCCGGACCAGTGTAATTCTTTGTAGCCAGAAACCTCAAAACAGAATCAGTAAAGGCTAAGTTGGTCCTGGACGAATTTAGGCTGTGAGTGGTAGGTAGCCCTGGAGAAGAAATCAAGTATTTTATATGCTCAATACCTCAATTTTAGAAAACTTAAGCAATTTTTGACCTTAGCTCCACAAAGGGTCAGTTGCGCCATCTAACTTTGACCGTAACTTTGACGATAACCGGATTTTGACAGATTTTTGACGTTTGTTAAAGTTAAAGTAACATGGTGCAATCCACCCTTAGTCCCTAAAACTAACCAAGGATACCACCATGGCCGCTAGCACCTCTCACTTCCACCAACCTTCCTGGCATCACTCCAAGATGTATACCACCAACACTAGGCGGCGTGCACTCCGCTATCATTGCAAAATAAGCCGGTTAAATGAGAATTAGAGTCGGTGTATTGGATTTAAAACGTTTATATCACTGAACAATGAAGACAGAGTTTTTGTAGCTTAACGGTGATTTAAAATTTTAAGCAAATTTTTAAACGAAAAATTAATGCCTGAAAAATTCGGGGAAAATCAGATACATGAATTAATAAGATATGGGGCAGTACTGAATAATGCGTACATATTTTTCACATGTTAATTTTACGAGTAATGTTGGTGAGATGATGAATCTGAAATTCATGTCCATTATTGGATTAAAATCTTACTCGCTTTTTCACAAATGTAATAAAGAACTTAAAACATTTTTAAGTCAATATTTATTGGCAGAAATTAATAAGAATTCAACTGCAAAATTTAAATGTTTCCTCGTAATTTCCTCTCCTCCTTTAGTGTACTTATTAGTTGTAAGTCTAACTACCTGTACCTACCTATGTCTAATGGTTCGAAGGCAATAAATAAATTTTTTATTTTTTATTTATTATTTATTTTTATTTTTTTTTAATGGTTATGTTCTTCAATCAATTATTCGTTGACGAATATAAATGAAGATACATTATTTCACTTACAATATCAATAAATAAATTCTTTCATAAATATTCATCAACTTTTTGGTCCTTCGAGCCGGATGTCAATGTGTGTTATATTTCATTTATCCAACTGTATCAACGTAAGCGCATAATAAATTTCCGATACGAAAATCGTAGTTCACCAAGCAATTCATAGCCTGTCCTCGATATTAAAATATGGATACCTGTTAAAACACCGCAGCCATCACTTCCAATTAGTTGGGTCCATTAATTGATTGAGTTTTAAAATATGCGCTCTTATCCCATCGGTGTAAGAGTGAAAAATGTTTTTACACCTGAGATAGTCGGTTTCAGAATCTGTTGGAACATCAGATAAATAGGTTTTAAGTATGTATTGGCTCAGATTGAGAAGCAACTACTAGTTTATTGCTGTACGTACAGATAACTAAACTCGTATCTCTACATTAGAGTAGGTACACTTTTCACTTTAATAAAATTTGAAAGCATAATATTATACCTAAAAAATATATGTATGCAAACAAAATCAGGTGAGATACAGACCAAGAACTTCCTCGTTGTGGATAAAAAAAATCTCTTTAATCTGAATA